TGTGTGTAGGTATTGACGTTAGCGATTAGTTCATTAGAGTTATCGGGGGGGGGGGGGGGGGGGGTTACCTATATTATCATGTAGCTATTGGTTAAATGTTCATTACAAATGTCAAAAAACTCAATGTGAAAGAATTAATGAATATCAGGACTCAAATATTTTTAAGCTCATATTTTCACCAAATTTAAAATTGGTGCACAATTTCACCATATTTAAACTTTTGGTGCCCTCATCACCAATAATAGAATGCCCAAAACATTTAAGCGAAGTTATTAATTAGAAGGCCCATAGCCTATACACTTATGTGAAGCTCAACTCGAAAGTGTAGTACACAGGAAAATAATTTCATGTTTTAATTTAATAAAATTTTTATTTATGATATTTTCTAAGGTTTTAACTTTTGTTTATGAAAAGAGACTCCAAATTTAAAAATTCCTTGTTCTTTTTGTGCACTGGATTATTAATTAATGGTTTTTAAACAATCCAATTATTTTTGTTCTCTTTTAAAGAAGTTAAGTTTGTTTTATTTTCTTTTTTATTGAAGATGTCAAAAACTAACTAAGCATTTACTTATAACTCATAACCCAATGCTTTAAATTTCAATTTTATGATTTGGGTCCATCTGGTTAGGTTTTTAGGTCTTGATTCTTAATGGTTTTATAGTTTGCAAAATTATTTTTGTTTTTAGTTAATTATTAATTTAATTTGAATTTTAAGTATACAATGTAAGTAGCACACACTATGCCATTTATATTAGATACACTTTTTAAATTACTTTGTTTTATTTTTCATTAATTTAATTTATTTCATTATAGAACTTATAACATTATTTTCAATTAATTTGATAATTATAAATTCGGACTCATCACTCTTTGATGATTTAAAAGAAAAATGCCTAAAAAATGAAAAGAAATTGAAAACACATAGAGCCTATGGTAACACCGAAATTGGTTGAATCGGTTGAATCTGCTGTAATTGATAAAGTACTCTAGTCCATTCATCCAGAGTACATCGTCGAGTTAAATATGTTTTAGTCAATTTTACTGAGAGTTAAATATGTTTTAAGTTCCTTCAAACATGATAATTTAAAAACAAAATGTGTCAAGCACGAAAAACGTATTTAAGTCTTTTTCATTAAAGCAAACACCGGCCAATTACAATAACTCAATAAGGTAACGTCAATTTTAGGAGTTTTTTCCTACATTAATGTTATTTATGATCGTTTCCTACAATAATGTTAATTTTTTTTATATTTCAAATTAGGATCAAGTTAAAAGCATTTCTCAAAATACTGCTGGAGTAAACCGCGGTTAAGAGAATTGTCTCTTAAAATGGCGGCTTATGAAAAACAATGAACGTAGTAACGAATGGCAAAATTATGATCGCTTTTTACAATGCACACTATTAATCTGAAGTGATAGGATAGAATAAAACTGCACAAAATCTAGTGTAAAGAATAAAATAACAAATAAAAGTTATGAAGTTTGTGTAGCTTTATTCTAAGTTATTACTACTGATTAATTGTATGCACGGTAAAAAATGATCCTAAACTGCAAAAAATAATAAATAATTTTTTTATTTTATATATGCATCATTGGTGTTATATGAGAGAGAACAAAAAACTATGAGTTTCGATATATTTTTGTAAAAATCGGAGTACAAATAAAAAATATATAACACTTGAAAAAAAAGATATTTTTTAAAGTGATAAATTATTTTGGTGTCATATCAAAGACAATAAAAAATTATGAATTTTGATATAAATTTTTAACGAATTAGAGTAAAATAATAAAATTGAAACACTTTAAAGTAAACATCAAATCTTATTTTGGTGGGTCCCATAGCTCCTTTTAGGCAGACTCCATCTTCGTCCATAAATATCACGAGTGTGAACTCGTTTTATAAAGAGAAAATGGTAGGGGTACACAAGTTGTACACAACTTGTACACACAATGTCGGTCACAAACATTTGGTACGGAGTTGTCTGAGACCACAGACAAGGGTTGTCTGTGTACACAGACAAATTTTGTCTGTTTCCACAGACATTTATTTTTTTGTGAAAAGTATTTTTCAGTGTCAGGCGGCTCTCAGTGTACTTTTTACAAAAAAGTAAATGTATGTGGAAACAGACAAAATTTGTCTGTGTACGCAGACAGCTCTTGTCTGTGGTCACACACAACTCCGTACCAAATGTCTGTGACTGACATTGTGTGTACAAGTTGTGTACAACTTGTGTACCCCTAACCTTTTCCTTTATAAAGAGGCTTGTAACAATTTACCGAGGAGAGGAAACTAAGCCTAAAATCCGAAATAGAAACTAATATTCCGTGAATGATTGCTTAACAAATTGACACATGTATCATCTTTCCTTAATTGCTACCTGAATTGTACGTAGTATTATATACTCCCTCCGGTTCTAAATAAACTTCACACTTTCCTTTTTGGGACGGTCCAAAATAAACTTCACACTTTCTTATTTCCTTATTTGGCAAAGAAATATACATCAAAACAGTGTTAAACAGTGCTAAACAGTGTCTCAACAGTGCCAAACAGTGTCTCAACAGTGTCAAACAGTGTCTCAACAGTGTACTCTACAGTAAAGTCAACTTTATTTCCTTAATAACTGTGAAGTCAAATACTGAAGTTTAAAAAGAACCGGAGGGAGTATATAGATAGAGAAAAATGCTAAAGGTACCCCCAATTGGTACCCCCAATTTGTACCCCACCCTATTTATGTGGCTCACAAAAGCACTTCATTAAAGTGGAACAATTCATTTATTGAGGTGGGCTTTTGTGAGCCACAAAAATAGGTTGGGGTACAAATTGGGTACCAATTGGGGGTACCTATAGCAGAGTTGATAGATATATATGATGAAACGAAGGCTTGCTATAAAGATGTGTATATAGATGTTGTTTCAAGGTTAAAGGCTTAAAGCTATGTTTAAAAAAAAACGGCCCGACCTGGCCGGGTCGACCTAGAACTGGCGACCCGGACAAAAACCCGGTTCGATTTGTTCAAAACCCGAAAATGACCAAAAACGGGAAAAACCCGGCTGACCCGGGAATACCCGATCCGGACCCGGACCCAAGAAACCCAAAAAAACCCGAGAAAACCCGGTTTTGGGTGTTTTTCCAAAAAAAAGGCAATTTCTTGTTTAATTTTAATGCATTTTTTAAACCAATATAATTGCAATTTCAATACCCTAAACAGAAAAACTATGTAATATACTTATATATTTAATTAAGAATGAACATCATGCCAAATTATAATATAAATGTACAACAAAAATAAAAATATCATTATATATTTTTATGGGATCAAAATTATACTTTGAAATATTATAAGAGTGTATTAAATGCTTAATAAGTAGTAGTGTTAGTTGATTATTATGAGTAATAACTACTTCTAATTTTATTATAATTTTGTATACAATTATGTGTTTATTAATATTATATGGATGTATAATCGTTGATCGACCAATTTTCCGACGTTGACCGGGTTGACCCATCGGGTCCGAGTTAACCCGTGACCCAGTCATGTGGCCGGGTCGCTCCCCGATCCAATTTTTTAAATATAGGGTTAAAGTACAAACTAAAATAATTGATGGGCAATAATGAGTTGAATTTTACAGATGGATCCGGCCTGCATGTCGTATTTCTCTTTTGTCCTACTCAGGCACTCACTCCATGGTTGTGTATTTCAGTGTGTCTAGACATACCTCTTTACCCAGAGTCCGTACTACCCCACATTTACATTTTGCACACATTAACAAATCCACTTAATTTAGTTTTAATATTAAAAATAATTTTTTCTCTCTCAAACATCTAAACCTAAAAATAAAGTTGAGTAGGGATATCTTTAATTGGAATGAGAATTTTTTTTTCAGCCTGACCTAATTTATTTAAGTCTCTGATTTAATGCGGTAGATGTTTATTTTATGTGTATTTTATAATTGTCAAAGTCCAGTATAGTCTTGTCTGATTTTGTCTAACCAGATCTGAGCTGATCAGCTGATCTGGTCTAATCCGATTTGGGACCTAGACAAATCTAATTGAAGATATGCTAGGAGATGAAAGTACTAAATTCAGTATATTGGTAGAAATTGGGGAGTTCCCTATTGAAACGACTGAATTGACCGAATCTGCTGAGGCATGAATCATAATTCATAAATATTAAGAGGTGCAATTACTACTTAAGAGGTCATGCACTACTCTATTCATACACTTAAGAGGTCAAAATTTTGTTAACATCTTTTATTATAGTCGTAAATATGTAATTACTTCATAAAATGAAGAAAATATTATATGAAATAATGAAAATAGCTAAAATAATCATGTTACTTATGTACAAGAATTTGAGCCAAATTTGTCAATAAAGTAACTTTAATTTTACTTATTTTGACTATTATACAGATCATCGTGCAAAATCAAAAGTTACACGTGTGATAAAATATGTGTTAGTAATAATGTCATTTTGATGGCAATTTTAGAGAAAAACTCAACATTTCCTAAGAATAAAAAAATCATCTTAATGACAGTTTTCGTAGAAAAAGTGGTACTCGTAGTTTTTACACAAAATGACATTTTTTACCGATCGGAGGTGGTAGAGAGTGCGGCAAAGGCCTCCATAATTGTTTTTATTTTTTATATGTTTGATCTATTTGTATTTATTTTTAAAGATTTTATTTAAAATATATATTTTTAAAAAAAAAATTGAAATTTTTTACAATTTATTATATATTTTTATTGTTTTTATGTTTTTATTACAAATTAAAATATGAATTTTCAATTAAGTTATGATAAGGATAGAATAGGAAGATAAAGTATGCCTAAGTCCTATTTTGAAAAGATAAACAACAATACAGCAGGGTCATATTTCTGCAAAGGGGTTAGTTTACTCCTATTCCGAAGTACTCGTGTGATTTTTATTTGGTGAAACATTATCTCAATCCGATTCAAACCGAAACACAAAAGGAAAATTGGAAAAATATGCAACCGAAACCGGAATGCCCGCACATAGTCAAATCTGCTTAAAATCTGCTCAACACTATAACAAAACATAATTGTAACATAACATTAATTTAATATTGACAAAACAGACTGCGTGAAGTACAAATATGCGCACACGCGATTATTACAGACTATATTACTATTATTTACTACAGAACAGAAGACATACATGAGACGCACACAGACGAATTAAAAACGACTACACGCATGCATCAGGGGGTTTAACTTTATATGATATGCAAATACATAATACTGTAGGGTGTTAAAGAATGAAGTTTTGGCAATTCATGGCTTGTTTGGGACTGGCTGGGTTTTCGGCATCTCTGGTTTTGGAATATTTTGTGGGGACTTGGGGAGTATTGGTGCCTCAGCTGGCTTTGAAGGAATGGTTGGCAGCTCTGGCTTGGGAATCTCTGGCACCTCAACCTTGGGCAGAGTTGGTATCACATCTTTTGGAAGCTCTGGCACTTGAGGCTTGGGTAAAGTTGGTATCTTAGGTTCTGGAAGCACTGGCATCTCAAATGGCTTTGGAATCTCTGGGGCATTTGACTTTGGCAAAATTGGTGCCTCAGCGGGTTCTGGCACGTTCAAAGTCTTTGGAATCTCTGGAAGTATCGGCTTTGGCAAAGTTGGTACCTGAATCGGGTTTGGAATCTCTGGAACTTTGGGCTTTGGAGTCTCTGGCATCTGAGGTGGCTTTGGAATCTCTGGCATCTGAGGTGACTTTGGAATCTCTGGAACAGTTGGTATCGCAGTAGGTTTTGGGAGCTCTGGAACTTCAGAGTTTGGAATCTTTGGCAACTGGGGAGGTTTTGGAATCAATGGAACTTTTGGGTTTGGAACCTCTGGAGCTATAGGGTTTGGAATATCTGGAATTATAGGCTTTAAAATCTCTGGAACTTTGGGTATTGGCAAAGTTGGTATCTCAGGAGGTTTTGGGAGCTCTGGCATGGTAGAAGGCTTTGGACTATCTGAAAGTTTAGGCTTTGGCAAAGCTGGAATTTCAAAAGGCTTTGGAGCCTGTGGTACTACGGCATCTGGTTTTGGCAGATTATCAGGCTTCTTAGGTAGATCAGGGCTTTGAGGGGGGACAGCCTGGAGAAGGTTTCTGGCCTCAGTTTTGATGACTGATGGTGATAGAGTAATAGTGATTGTCAGGAAAAGCAAGAGCAAGGAGGAGGAGGCTGGGTTGAGATGATTGGCCATTCTTGGCAGGTGAAGATGATGATGTTCAAGCTTGAATGTGCTCGTGTCCTTTGTTTATCTCTTTATTTTAGATTTGGGTTGGTGTGGTATTGGCTTTCCTTCAATATGGGCATGCTTATATAGAAGTGGGATGTGGAGAACTGGAAGAAGCAACTTAGATTTTTCTGGTAGGCAGAACCGCATTGGGTTGGGGTTAGTTCACCTTCTCAGTATGCAACACTGATCTGAGACATAGTCAGAGTCCAGGTGTCCCTTTAAGCTTGGAAATCCCACCAGCAATTTCTTGAATATTACCCCCCTCCTTGGCTTGTTTCTCAAGGAACACACATATTTCCTCAGTTGGTTTACCAAACCATACCAATATTATTATTATTTTGCTACACATTCAGTTTCACATTAGATCATGAGAGTCTGGAATAAAAGTCAACTCCTGGCTTTTGAAAGAATAAATATCAGGCAAAACCAGAAAAATTAGGCAAACTAGAACCAGAAACATAAGCTGTCTTTTTCATTCATCAGTCAGAGGAATTAGGCAAAACCAGAGATAAAAATGGCAAGACCATACAAAGTAATTGGTGAAGCCAATTACATTAAAACACGATAAACACTATAACTCAATTTCCTCTTATGTACTCATCCTTTATTATGCTCAACCATCAATGTTTTTATTTCACTAAGTTCAGACTTCAGCAGCACCATGAGTTAAAGTAGCATTTTATGTGTGTCACCATGGTACATGGAACCAAATTTTAAGCCTTTTTTCTTCACCAACTTCAAATACTTCTGTCCATTTATATTTGAAAAGACAAAAAATATTCCAGTCTTTAAAAAATGTTGTCTCAAGAGTTTTCTCTTATCCCGAATAGAACTCTAATTTCATTAAACAAACAAATTTTTAATGCAATTTCACCGAAAAAAGTATGAGCATCTGCTAAATTTAGGTCAACCAACGCATAAATTTAAAAAAATGACTTGAGTCAAATATCATCTAAAATATCCAAATAAAAACTCTGGGTTTTTTTTTTGGGGGGGGTCTTGATAGAGAACAGTCTCACAGGGAGGCTGTATTAGAAAAAGAAAAAAGAAAAAGTAATGGGTCACAGGGTTAAAATAAGCCCCTTTCCAGCACCCTTTGAACTAAATTTGAATGTGATAAATAATAATCTGTATTTACTACTCCGTATTTCATAAATTAGTGTGACATAAACATGTGAATCTCGGCATTTGTGCAAACTCGGCAAGAGGAACTTGAGAACACAAGCATGATGAGAATACGGAGAGGTTGGATATTAATTACAATAGGGATTTCTCTAAAGTTTACACCAGGAGGGGTAGAAGGGTAAATTAATAATAAAAAGAAGAGAATAAAAGGCAGACGGAAGGGGGAGAAAGAGCATTCTGGGAATCGGGAATTTGGATAGTTCTGGGAGAGCGGGGCCCTCTTGAATGGCTTCCAAGTTGTAAACTTTCTTCCGTATTTCTTCTTCCGTTTATTCAGACTCTTCTATTCACAATTGCTATAATAAAGTTGGCATATTTTCTGGAGTACCCTGTTCTTATCATTTGGTATCAGAGCCTCGATCCCTACACCTGTGTATGGTACTCACTCGACTGAACATGGAGCAACGGATGGACAGTTTGGAGCGATCAGTTGAACAGTCAAAGGAAGAGATGCGAACAGAGTTGGGGGAGATGAACGAAAAATTGCAGATGCTGTTGGATAAGATGCAAAATCTCGAGACCCAGGGAAATCGCAGAAGGAGAAGAGGACGATCGACTACACACCGTCGACGCCAAACTTCCGCAAGTGAGGCTTCTTCTAGTTCGGAAGGTAAATCTCACGGATCTACCTCTGTCTCACGTACTCCAGGTCAGGCGCGAATCAGTGACCGTGTGTATACGGGAAGAAAGGTCGATTTACCACTTTTTAGTGGAGACGATGCTTATGGATGGCTTATCAGGGTTGAACGATACTTCAAACTAAACCATGTAGCTGAAGAGGATAAAGTTGAAATAGTCCTTATAGCCATGGCCGAAAAGGCTCTGAACTGGTACCAGTGGTGGGAGGAGCGCACAGAGGACCATTCATGGGTTAATTTCAAGGATGCTTTGATTAACCGTTTCCAGCCGGATTTAGTTCAAAATCCGTTTGGTCCTATGCTCCGTATTAGACAAGCCAATTCGGTGATGGAATACAGAGATCAGTTTGAGATGGTTGTAGCTCCTCTCAAATCGATGGATCCGGAGATGTTAAAAGGCGTGTTTTTAAATGGTCTCAAGGAAGAAATCAGGGCCGAGTTGAAGCTGTATAAGTCCAGAGAGTTAACTGAGCTCATGGACATAGCACAGCTCGTTGAACAGAAGAATGGCATTTTAATAGACAAAAGAGGATGGACAAATAAGGGTACAAGTCTCTCCAGAGGCCAGTATGGGGCAGTACTAAATCCGGGGAAATTTATTACTCCAAAGCTCCCAATTACGGAGAAGGACAAGTCAGAAAGCTTGAATGACAATCCTCACGGACCTACTAAACAAGGGAAGGGAGTACCCATACTCCCCAGACTTTCTCAAAACGAATTACTTGATCGTACGAAAAAGGGCTTATGTTTCAAATGTGGGGAAAAATGGAACAAAGAGCATCTCTGTAGAATGAAGAATTATCAGCTCATTTGGAAGGAGTTAGTGGATGAATCTGAAGAAGAGGAACTGTCAGAAGTAGGGGAGGAGGACAAGAGTGCTGAACTCCCAGATATGCAGTTATCTTTTTTAAGTAAGGAAGGGATCAATATCTACAACACTTTCAAGGTCATGGGACAAATCAGGAATGGGAATAACAACAAACCAGTCCTAATTTTAATTGACTCTGGAGCTACCAATAATTTTATTTCTCAGAAGTTGGTCAGGGACTTGGGACTTAACTACAATGCCAGAACTGGTTTTCGGGTTGAACTGGGAAATGGGGACCATGTCATGAATAAAGGGAAATGTGAACAACTGCAGATATGGGTGCAGGGGGTGATGATTACTCAGGATTTCTACCTACTGGAGTTAGGAGGCACTGACATTGTCTTGGGCATGGAATGGCTGGCTAGTCTCGGGGAGGTAAATGCCAATTTTAGCGACTTATCTATCAAATGGAAGGATGAAGGAAGGGAGCACATGTTAAAAGGCAGTTCTGCAATAAACAAAACCAAAGCATCCTGGAAAACTCTCTGGAAGGTTCTACAACAGGAAGGAGAAGGATACTACATGCACTATGAATTGACGAAAGACAGAAAAGAGGAACAGGAACATGGGGAGGAGTGGGAGAAGTTTGTGGGAGAGTTTCCACGGGTTTTTCAGAAGCAGACCAGTTTACCCCCTAAAAGAGCATTTGATCATGCTATTAACATCAAGGAAGGAGCCCCTATTCCAAATTCCAGACCCTATAGATATCCACACTACCAAAAAGATGAGATAGAAAAGTTAGTGAAGGAGATGTTGAACCATGGAATCCTGAGACCGAGCACTAGCCCCTATAGCAGCCCAGTAATTATGGTCAGAAAGAAGGAAGGAGGCTGGAGAATCTGCGGTGATTACAGGGCTCTCAACAAAATCATGATTCCTGACAAGTTCCCTATTCCGGTAATTGAAGAGTTATTGGATGAGTTGGGTGAAGCAAAGATATTCTCAAAGCTGGATCTCAAATCAGGTTATCATCAGATTCGAATGAAGGAAAGTGATATTCCGAAGACAGCCATTAGAACCCATGAGGGACATTACGAGTATGTAGTAATGCCTTTTGGGTTAACAAATGCTCCTTCAACCTTTCAAGCTTTGATGAACCACATTTTAAAGCCCTATTTGAGGAAATTTGTCCTGGTTTTTTTCGATGATATACTGGTTTATAGCAGAAGTGTGAAAGAGCATGGTGAACATTTAAGGAAGGTGTTACAGTTGCTCCAAGATAACCAGTTAGTTGTTAACAAGAAAAAAGGGTCAAATAGGCCCTCGTACTATTACAAAAAAGTCATCTAAACCCATGTACTAAAAAAATGATCACATAGATACATTTACTACTAAAAATCAATCAAACAAGTCCATTGACTGGGAACTAACCTGCTATAACAGGTTAAAGACACTTTTTTCATTTTTCTTTCGTCTTCTCTTGCTTCGCAGTTCGCAGTTCGCAGTTCGCACTTCAAACACTCCATTGTTTGTTTTGTTTTTCTTTATTTCTCTCTTCTTGTTTCTCAGCCGTAATACATAGTAGAAAATAGGATCGTTTTTCTCCTTCATTCTAACGTCACTTTCCTAACATTTTCTTTATTTGTTCTTTTTCTTCTTCTTTTTACCCTATTTCCTTTTCTATTTGTTGACTTCTCATAAGAAATTATTGTTTTAAGATTTTTTTCTAATTATTTCAATAAACTATTATCTTGGACTCATCAATTGTTCATCTTTAAAAAATAAAGATACAAATTGTTACTAAAGATTCTTTTACTGTTGGAGAATTTCACTTTCAATTTTTTAGTTATTGCTCATATTCAAATGTAGTTTTTATTTTAAAGTTGAATCTGTAATTTTTATAACTTTGACAAGATTAAGTTTATACGCAAAAAAATCACACTTTCCTACACAATTTCAAAATCAGCCGCACTTAATTTTTTTGTCTCTAAAGGTAAAGGTATACCATAAATAAAATTTGTCAATCATAAAATTCACAAAGACAATAATAGGTGTTCACAGAAAAAAAAAGTTTTAGCCTGATAAAACAAAGTATACTTGTCATTCACATTTTGAAAAAAAAACTGAGTAATAACTTTTTCTATAAAGTTAAACCATATACTAAAAATATCAATTGAAGTATGTCTAAATGTACAGACAACAAATGTCTACCATAAACTAACAAAAAGCAGACACATTTTTTTGGAAGAAAATCAGACACATTAAAAAATGTACACTTTTTGTGGCACACATTTAGTGTTTTTTTTTTGTGAAAAAGGCGGCTTATATTGATAAAAGAACATTCAACAGATTTAAAAGTGAAAAAGAAGCTGAAAGCGAAATTCTCCAACAATAAAAGAATCTTTAGAATGTTTT